CTCGTTATAACAAACTTGGGAATTCCGTTATAACAAACTTTTTTTTGACACAATTTTTTTGGTTTTTGTGGAAAAATTAGGAAAAATTACTTGAAATTTGTTTGTGTTATTCACCATTGAAGCCTGAATCAAAAGAGGCCTCAATAGAGGCCCAAATGTTTCAAAATCTCCATGGGATCCACCCAGGAGAGATAGTTTTTCCACCCTTCCATGAAACCACTCCCCTGGAACACAGCAAAAATTGCATGTAGAATTGTTTGTACCCTTGGAGGTTAATNTTGCATATGATAAAAATGGATACTGACATTGACATCAAGCAAGCAATTGAAATGATTGCTTGTGTCTGGTCAATTAAATTTTTCTCATGCTCTGACATTTCAAGAGATGAAAAATATGATCTACTGAAAAAAGTTGAGGATGCATTGCCAGCAGCAGTGAATAAGAATTCTATTCAGAAGAAAATCAGTGATTTTTTCAAACAATAATTCAAGTTCTTAAACTGCAAGACAATCCTGATTCCAAATATATGCAGATCTGAGCTGAAAAAATTTTTCCAGTCATTTTTTTCAATAATCTCGTTACAACAAATTATCCGTTATAACAAACTTTTTCTGCGGTCCCCAAAAGTTTGTTGTAACGAGATTTTACTGTATATATTTTTTTTTTTTTGCTGGACAGGCAAGTTGTGGCCGTATTCCTGTTCAGCGTTCTTTTTGGTCAAAATCTGGTCCAGAATATCCACATTTAATTTTTGAATCGAAATTTGAAAAAAGTTACGCTAGCCATCTAAAAAGTCTAGCTTACTCTTTTTAACCCAAAAAAGAATCCAGGTTTCAACAGAATTGCCCCGGATGATTACAACAAGTGATCTATGATTTTGAAACTAAAAATTAGTTTCAACAAATGTAGAATAAATGTGCAATTTAAAATGTCGAAGCATGCATCTTCATTTTGAAAGAAGGCTGAACACAATCTAGGAATTACCGCTTATATATCTGAATTAATCTATATTGATTCTGCACAACACAAGTTTCTTATAACACGGGTACTTCGATGTCACCTGATAACTGCATTTCAAAAATAAAGAAAATTTCATCATAAAGCGTGTTATCTTTCAGTGCTGCATTTTCAGGGCTAAATCTTTGCAGATTTTAAACGACCTCCTGAAAAGCAGTGTACGTATCATCGATCGATTCAAGCAGAGCAGTTGTTCAGTAAAGAATATACTGTAGATACAATTTTGTAAACGTTCGCTCAAAAGCAATGGTATTTCTTTTTCAAAATTAAAGCAAACTTCGATAGTAAAAGCTCCGTTCGCCTCTTGAGAAGATACTGAATCTTGTTCGAATTATGCCCACATGAATTATTCCAATATATTCCGCAACATCGCATTCACTTCCAAAAAAAAAAAAATAAAGTATCACCGAATCAGCAATTACAATCGACAGCCAAAAAGTTGGAGACAGCCAAGCATTATCCGATGATGGTCTCAAACTGAGAGAGAAAGTTGTAGCGAAAATCCGAGGACCTCGACGTTGGCTACAATCACCGCGATGTGCGGAATGTCGCTGAACAAACGCGGAGGCAGATCCTTATTTTCTAGCCCCGCCCATTCGCTTCCCGGATTTCAACGACCCCCAGCACCCACACATTTCCATTCGCTGGTACTCCAAAAAAAAAAAAAGATAATAAATACAGTGAAAATTTCGTTTCATAGTGCTTTTTGGAGTTGTATATTTTAATTGTTATAATTCCCTCACCAGCCTGCAAATTAAAGACACGATGCGATGTTCAGTATTTTTAGCTAGCTAACTGACCCGGTGCTATCCGTTGATTTCGGTGATGATGTTTCTTCGCTGATTTCGTGCAAGGTCTCTGAACTCAATTAAGCGTATAAAATAGCGTCCAGTCTTCTTCTCCGGTTGACGATATTTATAACCACGAATATTTTGCAGGTAAAATTCATTCATAAATATAAAAGGATTTGAAGCCCCGATCATGCATAAAAATCCAGTTGTCAAAGCAACGGTCCGGAATTCCGTCCATAGAGGAGCTGGGCTCGAAACTGAAAAAAGTTAAGTTATTATCAGAACTGACTGTACAATTTAATTCGCTTAAAGTGTTCAGAGGAGACCCGTCAACAGAAAAAAAATTTTTGCTCGCGATTTTTGGACGCATTGGTACCCCAGATTTTTAGAATATCGTCACTTAAATTTTCGCCCAGCATGAATTGCATTAGATGACATCGCTGTCGAATTTTAGAAGAAGAATACAGTGCAAAAATCGTTAATCGTAAAATGATTCAACTATCTGGTCAGGATGAGCGGTGATCACTGTGTTTGACTGAAAAAGCGTGAAACGATATTTGACTGATACATAGGAATTTTAAATCTGCAAATAAGATGTTGAAAAGTTTTACGGACTTTGCGCTGAATATAATACGTCACAGTGCTTGGGCGATTTTTCATGATGGCTTTATTAATTTATTCTACATAATACAGTAAGAATGTTCTTCGGAACATGATCATGTCGAATTTCATGTGATAAGGAACATTTTATCAAAAAAAAAGAAAGACATAATATGCACGAATTACAGCATGCACAGACCTTCATCATCTCGGATCCCGAGATGAAGGGCCGGGATTCGCAGTTGCCCCCGCGCAGGGATTTTACGGAAATTTCCGCCCTGATTGGAGAAGCGTGCTTGAGTGGGCGCTTAAGGCCTCGTTACCCGGATGAGCTTCGTGGGTGCCTTTTCACCTTCCGATGCTGGGGAGGGTTTGAACCCTCGCCAGGAGGGTTCTACTTCAGCGGCACTTTTTCAAGCGGGAGCACGCCACGCCTTGAAACGCCGGGTGCTCCGTGTTGAGTGCATGAGAGTATTATTGTAAGAGCACAACTGAGTGTCAGAGGGACAGCTCAGCGTCAGCGTTCAAGAGACTATTAAATGTTAACGGATTGACAAGCAGTTTGTATTCCCCGTCAGAAAATGTATTTCTATTAGAAAATGATCAGTTTACATTAAAACATGCAAATATTTCATATCACGCCCCTCATCATGAACTCTTGCTAAGATGGATATTATTGCTGGGCAGCATTTTTGGAATTCATTCATTGTTTCCAAACAAGAACAAATCTTGTATCCCACGTGCTTCTTGATGAGACAATAACGATTCGTCATCAACTGTTTTGGATCTCAAGAAGAGGACATAATAAGGAAAAGGAAACCTTGCTCATTAATTTGCAAATAAAAAAATCGTTCTCTTCTGTATGCGTTCCCAATTCAAACGTATATTTTCAAGAACAATTGGCCCATCCAAGTTAGTTTTTTTTATTGTGAAGTAACCTTGTTGTTACACGAGCATACTCAACGCTGATTTTATGTACAGTATTTAAATAGTGTGAGTCGTTAAATCTAAAAACGATATTTACAGGACGCATACCGGTGGTCTGTCTCTAAAAAAAAATTCAGGAGACCAGAAAATCTTCGTTGTAAAGCGGATTTCGTTGAAGAGAACTCCAACGAGATGAGTATGGACGCCCATGAGGCCAAAAGAAAATTTATCATGTAAATAAATCTTTGTAGACAAGATAAATTTAGAGAGAGTCTACCGTGGTGTAGTATTCAATTACAGTATAGCACTTAATATTGCCGTTTCTCACCTTGTGTGATAAATCCAGTGTAATTTCTGCCAACAAGTATTACCGTGACTCTGATTTTTCTCTTTCTTTTGTGCTGGTAAGCAATTGTACAATTTCTAGGAAGATGTAGAATTCAAGTGACGCTCAGTTTTCCGTAGCGCTCAGTTGTGTGGCTCTCAGTTGAGTGGCCACGGAAACGCTGAGGGAAGCGGCAGCAGCCTCAAGAGCATCGCCAATTTACGAAAAACTGACGTTCCGCGTAGCTTTGAAGAGTCAAGAGAGTTTCGTTCGCTGTTGCAGACTACAGGCATCAGAGAAAATATTTTTCTCTTCGCCGTAAAATGCTTCGCACATTGACAATTTTTTAGTTTCTGTTATCACGATGATACGCGGTAAAAATTATAGTAGGTCATTTCAACCCCGTTTTACACAGTATTCAAGAATTTATGCTCGCTTCTTATCAAAAGTATTTACTGCAGCCATCTAACATAAAGGGTTGGAACTTACAGCGTAAAACACCAATTACCGAGACTTCGAAAATTATGCTCTATTATTTTTTTTCGTTGGGCGGAAAAAATCAGTCTGTCACATAATTTTATACGTAGAAACTTGCTTTTCTCGATACGGAAAGAATTATTGACGTTAATACTATCCCAAATTTGTTTTTAATGTCATTAAGACTGAACCAGGTCAATCTGGAAACATACTGAATTGCACGGCACATTTTTCAACTGTACAATACATAAGTATTCGTGCTGTTATATCATTAACAAGGACATCCGGTCTGGGGTGCGAATTTAGCTATATTATCAGATAATGTTTAGAAGGTTTTTTAAAACATAAAAAATCTCATATAATGACATTATGTTGTGAGTTGATGACACGAGTGTTCAAGAAAATCTGAAAGCAAAGCAAGTTTCCCAAATGAATTCAAATAATGGAGTTTTCCACTCGTGATTTAACGACTGGGGCAAAATCTGTCGAGTCATTATATGGGTAATGATGATTTAACGATATTAATGAGCAGGGGTAAGCCAAATAAAAAATCAGGTATTTTTTCAAGCGAAGGCTAGTATTTATTACAATGATTTCCTCTTCGGAATAAAGAAATTTCATCAACACTGAAAAAGTGGGAAACTTCGAAAAAAGGGAAAGATTAATCGGAAGACTTGCAGCATCGTCTACTGCAGCGCGTCACATGTTTCAAACATAAATTAACAGCATTCGATTCACGAACAGGTTTAACAAAATAAATCATTCAACACAAATGCTTACACTTCGAATGCATGCATAGCTTCAGCTTAAAATCCTTTTTCCAAAGATACAAAAATAGCTAAAAATCGACCGAAAACAGCACGTCAGTACAACGGAGACGTTCATACATTTCGTATCGAATGTGGAAGAATCATGGAAGAGGCAAGACAAACAAAAACTTCAGAAATGTACAGTAGTATCAAGCAGTGTATAGGACATAAAATTAAACGAAAAAATACATCATTCAGGCTTTCGAAATCAATCGCAACAATCAGAAAGTGAGCTTCTCGAAGACGCTGCTCTCGATTTCGACCGACTTCTCGATGGTGCTTTGAGGCTTGCCAAATTCTCCATACATTCTTGCAAATTGAAATTCTTTGCTTCTGCATCACGGCGGATGGCGACTTCCAAATCCAACAAGCATCGAACTTTGATACCTTACACAAGAAGGAAATATATATATTTCTAGATACATATTTGGTTGAGCGCAACATGTGTTCATGCGGAAATAATTAAGGAAAAAAATTCCAAAGAGAAGTTGCTGTCATAAAAGAGCTGACATGAAAAGTCATTGGAACACAGAATTAGGTTATCCCTCCTCACAAAGCTTGCAATGTATTCAAGGGTACATTAACGTGCAGTAGTCACAGTTCAGCTTTCCTTCCCAATTCCATATAATTTTTCGTCAACATACCTCGTATATCCTCTTTGGGGTTGATCTGAAAATTAAAAAAATTCAGGTACTCTCCAAATTGAATGTATTCTCATTCGAAGGACTTTTCTTCAATGCTCTTTTTCTCAATGATTTTCGCACATTGACAATCTCGACATGTTTTTAGCGAAATTTCTTCCCCGGAATTTTCCTCAATCAAGTACTTATCTGAAGAAAAAAAATTTGACGGGAATTTACCAGCATACAGCAGCTCTTCATCCGACAATGGACGCTTAGACCAATCTGAGCACCGAACAATATCGTTCTTCAAAAGAGTTCGCTGTGTGCACAACTCGAAAATATCATTCACGGATCCCCTCAGTCTACACGGACCTGTCGAAAGTACCACACTTACAACCTGAAATTAGTAGCGAAAAAGGAAAAATAGGCAAACCTTCTATCATGATATCTGGGTAGATCTGCTGCAAATATTCGAACCCTCGGTCTCGCAATCGTTTGAAGTCCCAGAAGTTCTGAACGATTAGAGCACTGTTCGCCAGCATAGGGTTCAGATCACCGAGCCGGGACAAATCGACGCACATAGCGAACCCTTTTTCAAGAAAAATTTAGCGACTGCTGAAGCAGGAGAAAATAACTCAAAAATGATAATATATTTTTTTAAACTCATTCGGCGTGCTGAATTAAATTTTGGGAGACAATTTGCCACAAAATTGATTCGGCCAGGTCATGTCCGCCGTTTTCCTGTCAACTGCTTCGCATCTGGAAGCTCGTTCATTAAAAGTGACTTTACTAATTGCTCAATTATTAATTTAACACAACTAATCAACTAATTTGAGAGCCAAGCTTTCTCTATATTGTGGCCTTCAATCCCTGCATAACAGTAAAATTTATCTATTCAGTCTTTTAGGAAATCCCAAGTTTAGCACAATTACTGAACAGTAACGGCATTTCTTAAAAAATTAGGGGTCTGCAACTTTGTGACTTCGTACCGAGCTTTCTCACTTCCGAAGATACCAGTATATCTTTCAATTTTCCGGCAGCGGCATCAGACAAACTTCCATAGAGTTCGATTGCGTCAACCACATAAACATCGGAAGGTGTGGCAATCTGAAAAACCCCCAGTGTGTTTTGCCTTCCCTTCTCTTGACAAGGCTGCCACAATGCGTCAATGCCGATCGTGCAGAAATTCTGCAACGAAGCGCAAGGATTAGAGACAAATTAAATGTCTTCAGTTTTCATACATCCACGTCTTCCGCATATGTATAGGCATGATAAAATACATCACAACTGGACTCCCGAACACCAAAAAATTTTTGCTTGAACCCTTGCCACAGAAACTTTTAAAAGTACATTGGAAATCCGAAATGAGGTTGAGAAGATGAAATGGATGAACGTGATTTCCTTGATAGTTTATCTTCAAGGCATCCAATCATCAGTGGATTATAACCTGTACAATGTACTCAAGCAGTATCGTATTCACGTGAAAATTGCAATTCTAAGGCATGAAGACATTTTTCGAAGGCAAAATAAAGAGCACGAACCGCCAAAATATCATCGAAAAGTTGCTCGCAATCCTTAGAATCACGCAACACCTTGATATCTTTCGAATTCAACCCGTGATCGTACAACGGGTTCATCACACGGTTGCCACTGAAAAAAAAATTCTTAAATAAAACAACTCAAGATATGGTTCCTCAAAATTAATATCAATTCCAGCTCGCATACATAAACATAGAAATACAATAGCCCACACTTCCTAAGCAATTTTCTCCTTAGATCTTGTCCCACGTTCGAACATATTCACAGAACCGAGTTTTGAGCTTCACTTCATTCAGCAAGCTTCCTTAGATGATTCATCATAATCTAAATCTATACAGTTTATGTAAACAAAAAATTTAGTTTACTGAACAAAATTTTTTTTATACTGTACTGAACAGTGAACTCCCACGGAATGAAGTAGAAAAAAAAACCAACAATTGCAGTAAACTTCAAGATATACAGTAGAAGCTTATTCGGTCTGTTCACGGGGAAAACCATAAAAAAATTGCAGGAAGCGTTAGTTTAAGAAGTGACAAGTAGACCACTACAATTACTTTAACAGGTAATGCGAAACAGAAACCTTGCGACAGCAGACAATTCCAGATCCTCCAGAGTTTTAAATCGCATCAGCTGCCTGGTGAGATCAGTGGAACGGATACCGAAGATTGTCATCCAAACTTCAGCTTCTCGCCACAAATCTCGATCAAACAAGGAATTGATGACTATTTCCGCCAACTCTTTGTCCGCAGCTACCCGACCAAGAATAATGGACGCGAATTTGTCGACGGCTAAAATAAACTGACATGAGCACTTTCACATGGGAGAAACCCGCGTCAAGCTCACTCATGGATTCATGCACGAAAGTCTTCACAATTATGTCCTTAAAAAACCGTGATGCCTTGCTCTTCGCCATGTTCGGACAGTCCAATAAAATTCTCTTGGCATCGTTCTCATTCCGTGGCAAAAGGCGAACCATGGCCCTGCTCAGGTTTCGCTCCGTCAAGCTCCAGAATTTCAGTCCGCGAACTTTGTTGTCCCTCCGAGGATTAAGAAGAAGCGACTGACAACAAAAAACGCGTGGTTTTTTGCTACAAACTCACTCAAGAAACTGCAGTCTTTCCTGATACCGCATTCCGAGCAACTTGTCAACCGTTTTTAAAAATGGAGCGCGTTCAACGGGGGAGACATCGAAATATGCTCGGATTTCAGATAGCTGCCCACGGACAAGGAGGTTCAACAATATTTTCGTAACGGAATACGTCAAGGGCAGGTTCAAAGCACGAATCCATCTCAGCGCCTATGACAATAAGATACACTGTCGAAAATCAAGAACTCCTGTTCTTGAACTTGACTGGTCAGACGAATGCGAGCCCTCATGAAGCAAAATCTCCCTGAACAATCCACTCAAGGATATGAAAGCACATGTACGTTTACCACGCATTCAGTGAAACACACTTATTCTCGCACTTAAACTCCCGAGATATCCAAAACTGATCAAGCTCAGCAACTGATCACATGCAATTAACAGATCAAACGTCAGAATGAGCGTGTCGCGACTCAATGTTCTACACATATTGTACTGTAACATTTTTCGGAGATTTCAGAATCAGATTTGAGGAGATGTTTTTACTAAGCGATTGAAGTGATCCCGCGGAATATCGTAAGACCTGCGCAGGAAAACGATGCCCTCAAGCGTCACCCCATAATATAAAGCTTTCACGGGCGCGTGAAATTAAAATTTACACATGAACTAGCAGCTGAAGAGAACAAAATTCCAGCAAAAAAGTATGAATTATCTGTCAAGGGGCCTACTTTGGCATATCCTCGCCGCGAGACAAGACGTGAGATGTTGCGCCGGAATCTTGCCTTATCCGGAATCATTTTGAAAACCACCGCTACTTGACTCGAGTATAACGAGCCACGATTCGACGAGAACACGTTGAAGGCATTTTTCTTGACTCCGAACGGGACATTAAAATCTCTGTCCCCTGACATAAGTCGTTCCAGCTCGTCCAAGACAATCTCTGCATTAAATCCAGAAAAGAGGAACGAACACAACAACAAAACATTATTACGTACTGATCATCTCAGCACCAACTGAATCGTGCAGAACAGTGGCTTGATCTTGAATGCACAACATCGTTAGGGCGTCGATGTGAGGACGATGAGACTTCGTTAAATGATCACGAACCAGCATTTGGGCTTTCAAGATCCTCTTCTCGTCTGGAAGCCATAATTCAAATAATACCCGAATTCCCAACACTAGTGAATTTAACCAACAGAACCAATCAATACACTAGCTGACCAACAGGACAAAACCAATGAACTTCGAAGAAATTAAATGAAAAAACATCCTATTACAAAATGAATGATATCTTACAATGGTGCTTTCGTTAATACAGTACAGTACGTGTACTCAATCAGTTCAAATAATATATAATAGCAAAAAATTAAGCGAACAGGGTGTAAATCGATTGTGTGCGGAATGGGCTCATCTGCTTTCTACTGCAGTTGAAAGCTTTCCATTCTGTTCTCAATTCGGTCAAGAAGTGCTCTCGTGTGATTTTGAAAATTTTAGTGGCAAACTCAAGGTACAGTATTTATAGGGCAAAATTCAACCTATTCCAACTTTTAATGACAAATTCCTTGCGGAGTTCATGTCTCTCTTTCGGGATACAAACAGCAAAAATCGAACCAGAAAAATTTCGACGAAGTCAAGTAAACAGAAGCATTCCAAAAGAATGCTGAAAGCCACATATATACGTGAAAATTAGTTTTTTATGAGGATCGTTTGTTAGGCAGTCTAATTGAAAGCACGTTTTGTTATACTGTATGAAGCAAGAATGACTGGATGCATTGTACAAAAAATCTGGTATGCGAAGATTTTTTTAAGCGAAATATCCTTTAGTCCTCAATAATTCTAAAATTGACAAAGGTGAAGCGACGAAAACAAGTCACGCTGGACAGCGACGAAAAAAACCTTTGCATTGCATTACTTGCACCAAGCTATTAGCAAGCTTTAGAGGGTACGGGTCAACGCAGAATTGTTGGGGTGGAGTACTCCGAATGGGTTTGATACTTTTGTACGCGTTAGTCCGCCATAAAACCCTTTCAGAAGGGGTCTTCTCTGACTTAGACAACGTCATCCTCAAAACGGATGGAACACCTCAGGGAATAACAGCTTAACTGAGTAGGATAGGCAGACTAATTCCGCAGTGGTAGTGCTGCAATGGTTCGTTAATCCTCGAACTCGAGAAGAGTGAGGTTAGAGGAGGTAAAAAACAACGTTACTCCGGTAGTGTCGAGCTTCTGCTTTTCATCGAAATGTATCACACGGAAATTAAAAATCAATGAAGACCCAGTTCTACGAAAATCTTTCCTCCTCGACGATGACAATTCTGATGAACTTCGTGATATAAACGCGATGCGCGAAGAATCGAGGATATCACAAAAATGCCCACATGAAATACCACTTCGTATTCAATGTAAAAAAAAAAAAAAAAATCATTACGATAAACCCTTATACGCGATTTGTTGTTCTACCAGTGAGTAAACCGATCTGCAACCATTCAAGGAAAAAGCTTCAGTTTCGGGTGGGTGGAACTTCACGCCACTGAGAACATCCCTATAAAAAATAAAAACACAATGAATACCACAAACCATGCAGTAAAAATTGTTCTTACTCAATGTCTTCTTCAGAATAGTCGACAGAGTTTGAGTCAAATTCATGCTTTATGCATTCCCGGACATGTCTCCTCTCCAACGGCAGGAAGGGGAAAAAATGATCCACCAGAGTTTTCTCAAGCAATACAGAATCCTTCAATCCGCCTAATGTCGTAAGATAATCGTCAGAATGATCTACACTGCGAAATTGACTTAAAGGAAAACACCACCTTTTTCGTTATACGCAGCTTGCTCTAAAATATCACGAAACTGCGAAAATTTCAAAGCATCCCGTGACTTTCCTTTTTCGAAGTGTTCAACAGTGAGGTCCCGGATTTCCGTAGCACCAGCATTTGATATAAAAATGAAAATAGCTTTCCTGAAAATAGTTCACGGCGACGTTCTCATTTTCTGAATAGTTTCGGAACTGCATTTTTAAACGCCTACCTATAATCGACGTCATCAACCACCCCGCGGAAATCGAGGAAAGGGGTCAGATAATCCATAACACCCTCGGCGACCACTTCCATTTCATCAAATACGAAGACACTCCTTGGACAAGCCGATACACTAGACCGGATTCTGTCCTGGAGATATTTCTGAAAGAAAAAGAAACTGAATAAACTCAACCATCCGCGTTGAAGCATTACACTCCGTACGTTGTTATTTGAACTTACTCTGATATCGTCCTCCTTTCCGCTTGGCAAGAAATGCCGAAATCCGATGAAATTATGAGCATACGAGCTATTCAATCCTCTGAAAAATAGTTCGTCGATGATCATTCGCGAAACATAGGATTTTCCGACTCCTGTACATCCATGGAAACTCAGGACAAGGGCTTTCTTCGGGGATTCCTTCCTCAAGTGTCGATTGATTACTTCTGGCAACATGCTTTGTACGATGTGCTGCCCGAACAGACGGTCGGCAAATTCATTCTCTAATCCTGAAAAATAAATTTGTTGATTCATTCTCTGCTGGACTTCTTTAGGGCAGCAGCGGACATCTGGAACGCACTTTGAGAAGGCTCCCGTAGCCATCCAGGTGTGCAGCACTCAACAAGCCTGCAGCGAAACTCATACACAGCACCCATTCCAGCAATTGCAACAGCTGAAATGGGAACCAAAAATCCAATTGCACCAACCTGTCCAATGCCGTGGAGACAAACCAACACAACAATCGAAAACCATGAACCCCTCCAAGTCATTTCACCTGGAATTAAACAGATTATATTAAGCGAACAGAACTGTCAGGTGGTGATTGCACGTCAACCTCGCAGTTCTTCAGGGAAACATACAGATCGTACAGAATTGGATTTTACTTTCTTTATATCACGGTTCGTTAATACAATGGAACGCCAAATACGACGCGTAAATTTGTCGTGTACTTTGCTTTGGAAGGAAACACACAAAGCCGTTAGAAGTGCAATAATAGGAGTGTGTCTTCTAAGCTTCAACCTTTGCACAGCCTGAAATTTTCCAGTTCACCTTTCCCAGAATAGCCCCAGAAGATACAGAACCGTTTGAGATCGGTAATAAGGTTTACAGGACGTGCAAGTCCATTTTTCCACTCAACACATTCATAAACACTTGACAGATGACACAACAATTGTAGTTGAAGAACTACAGTACCGTAGGTTGCTCGTTGTCAGAAGAACACATTGAAGACAGCGCTTCACCGCTTCCAATCGGAGTGTTATTATACATCGCGCTTCGCCCGGAAGCCAGTCCCTCCATCCCAGATCTCCGCCAGGTTCATCGGGGCGCTTGTATTGGACACGTGAGTTTTATGTTTAATGCATTTGGTAGATGTCGTTTGTTTTTAGAAATTGCTCGCCTTGCTCAATACTGCTGAGTGCTGACCTAGACAGCAGATGATGGATCTCCGGTAGACTTTTCCTGTGAGGCATTTCCCGGTGGATGAACACTTGAGGGCACGCCGTTCCTTCCGCGGCGTTTTTTGAAATGGCGTTTTCTTACGCGGAGAATGTGTACTGTTACTGTATATATGTCGAGTTCTGCGGAAGGCGTTGCCTGTTGGTGTTATATAGCTTTTTTCCCGCCATTTTTGCCGCTTTTCTGTCGATCGTCCTCATTCACTCATTCATATACGGCTGTTTTTGAAATTAACATACTTTATGGACAAAAATTGAAATAAATCTCAATATATGTACTGTACTTGTAAAGATGTACTGCATACGTATTAATGTATTTGTAAAGTATATGAAAAGTTCAATTCTTTCCACCATAGCGCCACAAAAAATCGAGATCACGAGATGCTGGAAGTAAATGAAGATAGCAAAATGCTCATGATTTATAAGGAAATTGAGCAATTAATTATCGTACATCGACTCATCGGATGCCAGCAAAATACAATAAATCGAGGAATTATGAGGATCATTCAGTAGCTGGTCGTTCAGTTTCGCGAACAAATTTAACGTACATTTTCTAGCAACTAGCAAGGCATTTTAATGTGCTTTTGTTTTGTTCTCTTTTGAGGTTTTATCCTATATTTTATTATTCCATGATATTAATTACTCCATTTCATTAATCATGATCAAATAGCACTAAAAAATAAATAAAGAATTTAGCAGGAAGCGATTTCGAGACTCGTGCTTCTCACCATTCTGCCGTCTGTTCATTATAATAATAATCTAACGCATAGTTTCCTCAATGCAGAAGATTCACATCGCTCTTGGAAATTTGTTTGAAGCGAAATAATTATGACCAAAATCCATCTTTGAAATTTTTATTCTGGTCCTTTCTTTGAAATTAGGATTCTAACGTATTATCTCGACAATCTTTGCTCTTTTTCATATTAATTACCGTATGTATCACAATAAAAAAGGGTTTCAAAAATGTAGGCTATCCAACTACTGTACATTTCTGGTACGCTAATTTTCCAGAATGTTAAAAAGTGCCCTTCCTCAGTAGAAAATGAAGCAAATGCGCGACGTTTTTTCAAAATCTGAATTTTCAAAAATTACATCAACAGTTCCACACATACGCGATAACAATATCATGATCATGCACACAGCTGTGTAAAAGATTTGAAAAAAAAAAACACGCGTGCTTCCGTATGAGGTGTCACAGAATCTGCTGCATATACAAACCATGCGTGAAACGCTCTCATCATCGCCGAGATCAAATTTAATTTACGATTTAGTCTGAAGCGAAAAAAATAGTCTTCGATGGCATGTATATTATAGAGATTGTTTTTCTCTTTCGACTTTTTAACGCAATTTTCTGTTGCATGGAGACAAAGGAACCTTGGGCAAATGCGGCGCAAACATGGGATCCGGACTCTCATTGCTGCTGATGGGCAAATCAAGCACCAGAAATTTCTTCCTCGCAAGCTTCGGTGCCATTGGTACCAGCAGATTCCGAATTGGTTCTTCAAACATGGTACCATCACAGTCTCGTTGTCCTCGTTGTTGCTGCTGGTTATTATTGCACCGGGATACAGTGTCTCGAAAGGATTTGGATCTCATCGGGAGCGCATTATTGATACTCTGATGAGCCACGTTTGGCTCAACTCTTTGAATGCCGTGACTTCGACGACGATCGCTCTGTTTTCGCAGTTTTACGAGAGCACAGTCGGAGCACGTTTCTTCGGAATGAAGCGACGATTGATGTTTTGATCGGTTTGTCGACGAATCCGACAGCATTTCTTCCTGGCCACGAGACAAAAGCAGCTCGTCAACAGGAGCGTATTTGTGCCTCGCCATCAGTTGACGCTTCAGGTTCTCGAACATGTTTCCAGGTATACTATATATATACACGAAAATAAGAGACGGGAACGAATGTACAGTAATGTACATTTGAGACTACCGTACCGTAATGTACGCAACTATATGTAGTACATGCAAACTACGTGCGAATATACCGCAAGTGGTGCTCCACAAAATAAATAGGAGATGTTGCCCGTACAATGAGCTCTTTTTCGCAGGAAAAGTCATTCAAACACAAGCAACTGTTTTCAAAATACAGGTACACTGTAGATTGTAACTATAAGAATCCTTGTTTTCCAAAAAAGGTTAATTTTTTTTTTCGCGGGGATGTGGGTGATCTTGTATGGTCTTATGAAATATGATCATGATATTTTAAATTTTATTTGTTTTGAAAAGTTTACCGCATATACCATATATTGTACGTAATCCTGCAGCATGATTTCAGTGTGTTCACTTTAATGTGCTGCTAGTTCAACTCTCAGCAAATCACGATGACCTTCTAAAATTGATAAATTGAATTCGTTCGCAGACCTACCTGCTGATGAGCTTGCATTTTGACTTTCAAAAGTTGCGATTTATTGGGGAACGTACTTGGAGATTTTTTCTCAGCTATTTTTGCAAGCAGGGTGGGCTGCCATTTTTTGAGTCAAAATATTTATTAATGAAATTAGATGTCAAATTAATTATTGTTTTGAAAGACAAAATTTCGAAATCGATGCTCCGGGAGAAAACATACGGGAAATGAATCACGCGAAAGGTTGACAGAAAAATCAAAGCAGCAGGCGAAATCGTCGCAACTAAAATTCTGAACTGCACAAGAAAATATCGAAAGAGATTGAATTTTCTTCCCCCGTGACAAGGAATACGATAATACGTAAAATTATATGATAGCAATAAACTTTCAATACTTTTTTTGATTGAAAATGTATACAGTACCACGTAGAAATGCCCGATTCATGTGCGGAGTGCAAATTTTCTCTTCCGTATGTATGCATGTTTTTCAATAATGTAATTCCATCATATATGAGGTTTAAATTATCAGACCATGCCAAAAGATTGTCTGGAACATTTTATTTCTTTCGCACGCAGCAAATTTTTCACTTTTTCGTATCGTAAATTTTTGGATGCATTATTAATTTTTTTATATGTCGCGAAAAATCCCACGAAACTTCGGATAAAATACATTACCTTTCTTTTATGATTTTCTTTTTTGTGTTTGATTGCGCTCAATTGATTGAAAAATAATCTAACAATCTAGTTTTAATTTACTACGCTTCATATTTTAAAACTTATTTTTTTCCTGTATCCATGTTAAAATATGTACTGCGTATGGTGGGTTCGTGCAAATTTAGTTCCGTACTCCTGTTAAATTGAAAACACTGTCCCACATCTTTAATATACTCACAGGGAAAATTGGGCGAAGAGTTTCTCATTCGCGTCGAAAATATGTGAGGAATTTCTCCAACACTGAATATAAGTGGTCGTCTTTTGCACCAGCACGGACGCCACTGCTGCAACTGCTCCCTGCGGTTCACACGAATATTCTCGCAAAGGAACTCTCAAGACTGAGTTGTTTATAAGAAACTAGTATTAGCCCAATCCTATTTGTGAAATGGCGAGAAAGTGTACTTGAGGGGTTTCGATTCACTAGTTCTCTGTATAGCAATAAGTCGCATCGACCAGTTCGCACATGGGGCTTCTTAGTATTATGTAGAGCTGATCCCGGTATGTGTTTTTTGTGTTACTTTTTGTGTGGCAGTTATTTATTTTACATTTTTATGCGCGGAAACTTTGAGGCCGGTGAATTTTTCCTGGTTTCTTTCCCGAAACCGCAGACTTTAGCTACAGTTTCCTTTTTCTTTATCCAGTTTCTAAAGGATTTTAATGTCGAACGAGAGAAAGCAAAATGAAGGGTCGCAAAGAAAAGGTAATTTTATAATTGCAACTAAAATTCATGGACGACTCGAAGATAACTTTTCAGATCGTCATTTTTCCAGTTTCGAAAAAAAAAATTATGGTACAGTATTCTCACTTGTTTGAGATTCTTGAGCAAGACTTTATAACGCCTTTGCAAATATAAATTTGAAATTCTTGACTATTTATAACCCATTAGTTGATAGTGCTGATGGTAATCTTGAAAAGCATTCCCTTTTCAAAGTTCTAATAAAAATACAGACGCAAATTTTTAACCCCCTTTTCAGTGATATTTAATGTAAAATACCCTAATTATGCATCATTCCACTCTCCCTGTAAAATTTTCCCAAGCTTTGATGAATACTCAGGTTAGATTTGAGAACCCTGTTACTGTATTTATTTCTGCAGTATTGTAAAAGTAAATAGTACTGTAATGTATTCAACATTACACGTCAGATTTTGTTGGGACATGTTTTCGTCGATTAATTTTGTCTTCGCTACAGGACATGATGAAGTTTTGTGGTTATATAGTATGATGAGAAATATGCTCACATGGAGGCTCAGCAAACATAAATACAGTAACACATTTTATAAAAACATGTACTGCCTTCACTCGGCGTTTTTCTTGTTTGAGTATATCATTCGAAAGTGTGAACAAGCGTATCAAATACTGTATCAATGAAGAGTTTGTCAGAATGACATCTGTTGCTTTTCAGGTTCGAGCTTTGTAGTGAATTCCTAGATGTCGCTATGATTCTCATTTCATCGGCCTGTGGAAGTGTGGAGTTACACACGTGAGAGCAGTAACACAATTATTTTCTCTCCATACTATTCGAGGGAACTGCATAAAATTACGAAAAATAACTCCGATTCAATGGATATAATGTTACACAAACTATGCTAAAATACAAGAAGAGATTAGGGAAAGTACAATTGGCAAAATAATAAGTACTGCATGTACTCGGATATGAATACCACGTATATTTGAGAATACTCAGAGGTTGATCAAAAGCTATCACGAATGGCACATCGTACGAAAAGTTGATAACGCAAACTTTCAAAAATGTGAATTTTTAACTTCACTCGAACTTTCGAAGATTAGGTACTCCGATTGTGTTTTTATTTGTGCGTCGATCGTTCATATATTGACTCATTTCAAAGTTGTATACTGAACGCTGCCTTGTATTATTCACCATTTTTAAATTGTGAAGACAGGCATTCTTGAAAGCCTTCAAAGTATTCGAGCAGGGCAAGAAAAGAAAGACAATTCGACATTATTTCATGTTTCCCAGAACGAAAGTGCGCTTTTTTATTCAATTCTTTTGAGAGTATATTGAGTCTCTTCATAAAACGTTCATGGCTTTTCAAAGAACTGCGATTTTCTTTCGAAAGTCTTCAAACATGTGGATAAATGGATTTTTCGACAGAATCTCATTTTATTGAAGAAACGTACGGCATCACATTCAAAAGACTTTAAACGGAGACGGATCGTCGATTTCGTGTACTGTACTTGAGTTGAAGGAAAGTACGCGTGTCTTCCATCCCATTCGAGTGCACTGATTTCGAATCGTTGGAAAATACAGCCATTATAAGTTCTTTAAAGAAGCCCCGAAGCTTCCAACGGCTTTCAAAAAACCCTTCTTTGCAATTCGTGGATGCATGACTGTAAGACTCGAACATGTTTTCAATGGACTTTAGGACGGGGCAAAAATAAAAGCACTCAGACTTCTCAATCTTCGGATGAATTTCGAAAGCAGTGCATTCAGGGAAGTGCGTTTTCAAAAGTTCCGGATTTCATCAGATAAGTCATTCAAGGCTGTGAATCGTTTTAATAAAAAAAGTTCCACGGAATAAGCATCCCACAAACATCTTCAAACTTTTGAAGAACTACAAACTTTTCGAACTCTTCTCAAAAGCAGGATAACTTCAAGAATTTCAGTTTCCAGCGAGTTTTAATTCGGTTTCTGGCGTTTTTTTTCTTTTACAAAGGCTTAGAAAAATATTGCTTTACCCACGAAACTAAAAGGATTTTGGTTCTTTTGAGGCTTCCCTCTCAAGTTTTTTATTAATGGCAAAATGTGCGTTTCTCTACCGTAGCTTCTTCAATCTTACAGTTATTCCTATCAAATTTTGCCTTTCACACAAATTAAACTTTCCTGATTAATTAATTACAATGATTACTCGAATCAGAAAAGTATTTTGAAACTAATAATCCACTGATAATCAAAAATGAACGCTTAATTATTCTGCGGCAACGATTTTTAGATTCGTAAACTTAAATAATTATCTATTGGAGTTGGTCATCGGACGCGTGAAAAGGGAGACAGTCAAAGTAAACTAGTTCATTTGAAAAATCACAGATACTGGGAAATGATTAAATGCTTAATACCTCAGTGTATTTTATGTGCAATGTGAAACAAATCAATGGCCATACGAAACCAGAAAGTTGATAAACTGTTCTTCATTATTCTAGGGAATTTCAACATTTCGTTTCACAGTTTAAATTCTTGACTTTTTTCCTTATGCTTGCACAAATAAGTTGGATAAGTAATAAATCATTTGAAAAAATCCCACCAGTTGAAATGATAAATTAAAGAATACATGCCATTTCGTCTCCGTTCACTGAGTTAATACTAGTCAAGTAAATATAATTGTATTCAGCGAGAAAACAAATTCAAGAATTACGCCTCACTTTTCATTGTTAATGACGTTCATATGCATCTTGAGGTGCGCTAGCTGAGATAATTATCCAATCAAATGAAAATAAACTGTGATTAATTTCTAATAACGAGGTACAGGATCCACACCACTATATTTACGTTGGGTTCATTTTATGTCTGTTTAAAATCGGAGATTACATAATTGTACTTTTTCAGCTTTTTACCGTGGTTATATATTGAAAAAAAAATTCACATACATTGCAAAAATAAATACCGGCCGGGAATAATGCCTTTATAGTATATCCAGGCCGCTAGAGTATTTATCTTGAGCTGGGCTAGCTGAGATAATGATCCAATTAAATTTAAAAATATACTGTGATGAATTTCTAATAACGAGGTACACGACCCAGGCCACTAAACTTGAATATACTGTATATTCAAGTTCGGTTCATTGGAAGTTTGTTTATACGGGAGACTAGATAAATCTAGTTTTTCAGCATCATGCCGTAGTTATATATTCAAAAAATTAAATTTCACATAAATTACAAGCAAAAAAGAGCAGAAATAAATTTATTGACAACACAAACAGCGAGTGAAGCTCACAGCGCCCAGCAGCTCATCCAGAAGAGCCGCAACAGTAGAAGTATAATCTGTGCGCCTTCGCTCCCCGAACACAGCTGCACAGAATATATTGTACTGTGTATGTATATATATCGTATAACGAATTGTACCCCCGACAATACATCGTCCCCCCCGCCATACATACTTCGCATGTACTGTGCTAGCACATATCCTGTGTATATACATCCCCCATCTCTTCTTTCGCAGCCGGACCCGGCAGCTTCACGGAATCGGGCAAGTGCAAGGATGACGTCATCGTTGTTGCCAGCAGCAGCAGCAGCCACACCATCCCCCCGCTCTATATACGGTATAGTCCCTTATACCAGTAGGAAACTAGCAAAGGAAGCAAGGATAGAAGCAGAAGCAGCAGCAGCAGCAGCAGCAGCGCTGGCGTCAACCAAGAAATACCCCCCAAACCCCGGGTTCTTTGCCGCGCTCCGACAGTGATCACCCGGGCAAAGACGACACTCCGGCGCGAACCCCGGGCCGCGACACTATGGGGGTCGAAAAGGCGGATTTCTACTGTTGTTTTCGTTGTTGTTATTGTTGTTGTTGTTGTTGACGACGAGAGGAAATTGAGTTTCCCACACGACCTTCTTCAGAATGTGAAATGAGAAGTGTGTGAGCAATCCTTGGATTCATTTTCTTTTTTGGTCTAGCGAATTTCGACCACGAACCTCGATAAAAAAAATATAACCGACCTAGGGTTCTATATGAGATTTATTTTCAACTTTTTTTATCTCATTATAAATATTGAAATTATTCGCATATAATATCATAAAGAAGTTGAAGTTGAGAGAAGAATCCCGCAAAAATTTGCATCATGTATATTTCCTATTAAGCTGTGTATAGTTTTTGTCTTCCTCTGCTTTGTTCGATTTGTTTTGCGGGTTTCGACCAATCCAATGGACTTCGAATAAGTTGAAAGTAATGAAATATTTGTTGTTGAAGTTCGTTGTCTCATTTGACGCTGGAAAATTGTGTGTTCGTGGAGAATTTCAAGCTGAGAAAAAAAGGAGAAATCCTCTCATCGACTTTGTGGCGTGCAACGTTTAATTTACTCACCTTCGTTCGAGAAGAAAAAATACTTCTACTCGCCATGAAGTAAAATTTTAAAACTTGAAAGAAAGAAGCACATCAACTGCTGAATAGCCTCCATGATGAGAACATTTTTCAAAAATCTTTTATCAAATTAAATTTTTTACTGAACCTTTCTATATTCTCCTTTTGAATTTACCCACCCTCGTTCCAAAGTGAAATCCAAGTGCGTGCGGCATCACTTTTTTCAATGATTTGAATCATTCATTTCCGCCTTCAAAATAAGGACGACTAATGGACTTCGACAAGATTCAAGTCTTTTTTTTTCGTTCAAAAGTTCGGTGCTCTTCTCGAGATTCCATACGATTTTATGCTGAAAAAGTTTCGAGAATTATCCTGTGGTCAATATAAAAAATCATTGTACTGGTGTATCTGCTTCTTTTCATTTTCTTCGGTTTTGCTGAAAATGTGAAGAAAATGTTCGCGTGCCACCAACGAGTAAATTTGCTTTAACGAATTCCGGGATTTCCAGATGACATTCATTTACAGTATTTGGAAGACTCTGCAGTTTGATTGAGGATATATTTTTTTTTCGAGTTCGTTGTCCCTCCCGACGTATACAGGAACATTTTATTTCATAATCAACTTCAAGCGGAGACAATTTTAAAGTATCACCATTTTCGCAAAAACATCTCCCAAATTGAGTTTCCATGATTTATGTGCGCATCGATAAGTTTATACTCAGTTAATCATCTGAAAAGGATGTGCATGAATGTTCTTTGCCGGAGCGCATGACGGTATAATTCTTAGAAAACCAAGTCAAATCCCTGCGGATCGAAGTTTGGAGTTGTATTATCTCATTTACATGCAGTAAGTTTTGATGACAGTAGTAATTTCATACATGCGTACAGCCTAGTTTGGAAATACGAAAAAATGCTCGTTTTCAATTCAATGAGAAGTCGAATAGTCGAATTGACGGTTTGTTTCAGATTCACAGGGATTATTTTCTGCGATTCCAGATTTTTCGCTGAATAAAAACAGGTTGCAATTTATAGTGAGGGAATTACTTTCTGTCGGGAATCGTGTCTTGTTTTCCGCTGTGTGAATCTGGGAAATTAGCAAACTTGTTTTAAAACAACCGGAATCCACGTGTTTCGTCTCATGCAAGGCGGAACGAGAATAATGAGGATTTTTTTTCTCGAATATTCCGATTTTAGATTCAGGAATTCAGGACCAGAATTTTCTGGTCTACGTTTAATTCTTTTCACGGATGAACATTTGATCTGTTACTCGCAGTGGTGTTGAAGAGGCATCAGTAGTGGTTGAGTTCTCGGTGAACATTAAATCGTCAATTCCTCGTTCGATGATCGGTTGAAAAAAGAAAGGAAAAGAAATTTTGAATATTATATGGCTGATGAAAGTATCTTCGAAAATAATAGATTTGGATGTGCTGGGAATGTTGCTTGAATCTTGTGAATGCTGAAAAACAGAAAATAAATCTTGCTGTTCGATTCAATTCAATAATAGAGCATGGATTCGAAGAAACGCCTCCATTTTTTAGGTTCTATGACGATAAAACTAAATTCGAGCGAATGAAAGATGCACTTCGAACGTCTTCAGATTCGGAGGCGTCTGTTGATTTTATTTATTCTTCAGTGCCCAACTGTAACTTATAGCAAGCATTTTAAATAAATTTGAAGGCTGTGACTACTCTGTCTTGAAGCCAAGATTTTTAGAGTACTGTATAACAAAATTGTTCATTCGAGTCTGGATGGTTTAATTTGTCATTTTTCAAAGTGCGTCAGAATGTATCGCGCTCTCCTAAACCCTTAGATTCTTCGGTAGTTTGCTTCCTCAAATAACTTTTCTTCAGTGGAAGTTTATTACATTTCTCATAGGATATAAAAACTGTAGTTAAAACGCGCCTTTTACGCGGAATGAGCTCAAACTACGAAAACGAAGTAATGGGTGAAGCGATTCCTTTTGCCTTTGACACACACTGTCCACTCGACCAGACATTTACAACTTAGATAAATGCTCTTTATCTGAAAGTGTTTATTCCGACGCGTTATCTCGCTTATATTGGAGAGAAAAGAAGAACCTATCTTTCAACGAAGAAAGACAACTTTCAGCCGTTAAATCATCGGTCTGCTGGATTTCCGTTGCTTTCGTTTGTGATATACGTGTTCAAGTGGATTCTGTCAGGGTTAAACGAGGAGTTCGATCCGTGAAACTTTTTCCCTTTTCCTACTGTATAGATAATCTCCATCGATTTCAAATACAATAACTAACGTTGTATATAGCCACGACATTTCGGAGCACTGGCCTAGTAACGAACACTCGGAGCAAGGCTTCACTTCAAACTAGGCTTCCTAGCAAATTAATACGCTTTTGGCACGGACTTCAAAGAAAAAAATACGAATATGGACGATTTTTTTACTGGACTATTATCTGAGAGGTTTGGACAGATTTCTCTTAACGAGGATTTGAAATCGATGAGGGGAACCGGAACACATCTGCGTTACTCGATTGACGGATAAAATAAACTTTTCTTCACCTATTAGTGACACGTTTTTCAGCTTGCTTGTTGTAGAAACATCAGTTGCAGCTGAGAACATTCTTCAATGAATCGTTACTTTTTTTTTTACTCCATCTTGCCTTCAGAGCAGTTTTCTAGAGCATCATGGTTCACTGACGCAAAAACCACTTGCATTTTTCGCGTGCAAAACGAGGAGATTTTTGTTGTTTGTTCTTCGAAGAGTCGGAGTTAAAGGAAAGTTTTTGGATGAACGCAAACGAATTTAACGCATAAGAAGAGAAATGAAATTTTCAGAACGACGAAAAGATTGCCTACAGAAATTTACTCTACAGTGGTATTATTCAGAGATTTTCGTCTGGTCGTAGCAGAGCTTTAATTAAGCCTCGGGAATATTTTCAGGCATTACTTAGAGTAAATGATCTTTAAATACTGTTACTTAAGCATGAGCTGCATTTATTTAAGAACGCATGTACGAGCGTTGGTCTCAAAATTGAATCAATTTCGGATTGTCGTATGCAAATGTATGACGCACGCTTTCATTACATTCAATTCCCTCCGAATCCGAAAGCTCAGTTAATTCCATTTATGACTAAATAATCAATTTAATTTCCTCAGCCGATTTCAACAGATAGCCAGAATTCTAATCATTGTGACCTTCAACTTGAAATACAGCAGTAATAAAAATGAGCTCAGCTGCATTTCAGAACTTTTTTTCAAAAAGCCATTATGCTGATCGGAATCACACAAGAATTCAGCCTGAAAAAGCCTAAATGATAAAACTTACCTTTATGTATGAGACGGGAACTAATTTTTTTAACCAACTTGACCACACTAAATAATTCACTTGTTGTCCTTTCTATTACAGGACTGAGTCGAGAATAAAAGAACCAAGTTC